ATATTTTGAGAGTGAGCAGCTCCAGTACTTTTAGAGTCAAATCACTTTATAATTTAATTCCACATCCACCCAGTAAATATTTCCCAAAGTTTACATTTCCCTCCAATTTGTTCCTTCGTTCAACAATTACTGAACAACTAATCTACTAGGCACTGGGCTGGAATGGAGAGCACAACATAGTCTGCACCTATTGAGCAGAGTATGTTTAGGGAATAAAACTCGAAGCCATCTAGTCCCTCGGGACCTCTTTGAGACAGTTACAGACCCTCTAGGAATGTTTAAAACAACGAGTCTGAACTTAAAGTGTTAGATGGCAAATAACAGGTGATATTAGCATGTTATATATTTGAAGAATATCCTCTTGAATTTATCTAGCACAGTTACCTTATTCTGTCATTATAACTGACATACCACAGACGAGGTGATACATACGGGAGGTTTTATTTATTTAGCTCTCAGTTCTAGAGCCTGGGAAGTCCAAGAACATGGTGACAGTGTCCCTGGAGGGTCTTCTTGCTGCATTGTAACATGGCAGAGGGCCGCACAAGGCAAGACGGAGTGAGGTGCCAGAGTTTGCTTTTGTAACAAAACCACTTCCTCAGTAATCCACTGGCCCATGAATGTAACACATCACTTCTCAGGGGTCCCCATCTTTAAGTACCATTAACATGTTAGGTGAAACAAGTCAGACACAAAAAGTTAAACATCGCATGGTTTCACCTATATGAGAAATCTACAATGCAAATAAATAAAGTAAAAAAAAAAAGGAGAGATGGTAGGAAATAAAAAAGGTAGACATTTTGGAGATTGGGAAAGGGACAGTGGGAAGGTTGGGAGGCAGACAAATGCGTCGTAAATGATCAGTATATATCTTATGCATGTTCCAATTCTCCAAAATGAATCTAAGCATTATGTATGACAAACACACTATTTAAAAAATGAAGTTTTAAAAAGTACAAACACCATTAACATATGACTTTAGGTATTACGCTGCCAACACACCAATGTAAGGTAGACATACCC